CTCTACCCTCCCAGTATCACCGATTTGTTCTTCTTATGTAAGGCTAATGTTATGAATAGCTCAGATGAATTCGGTGGCACCAGCCCCCCCTTCATGTTTTACACGTGTAGACTCGGCCTATTCATGTTGAAACCTCAGTGCTTAGCGTAGTAATGAGCACATATTAAGCTCCCAATAAATAACAGCTAAAGTAATTGTTACTTTATTTTACACAACAAAATTTGATGTGGCTTTGAACAGTTCAAGGAAATATGAAGTGAAGAGATGATGGGATGTTTCCCATGAACGATTTGAAGTCCTTTCATAATAGTTTCTTTTACCTATAGGTCACACAATTGCTATTTGTCAAGTTTGGTATGTATGGCTTTCTAATGATTTGAGAGCAATTGCCTCAAACAGAATTTATTTGATCACATTGATCAAATGCTCATTTGAACACTCATTAATTTTTTTTCTCATCCTTCTGTGGTTGGGTGCCATGGCGTCACATCGCAGTGATTGGTTACAACAGAGGGAAACAATGCTCAGCCTCGTCCTGTCCTCAGAACTTGCCTTGGTTTGGATTCCACATGTTATAGACACTGTGTCCATTCATCTTGTGAAGGGCCTGCCTTCTTTTCTCCCACTCTCCACCAAACATGATGTTTGTCCTCTCCTGCAGTCTTGTCATCTTCCCTACTAAGGACCGTCCTGGTTATACTTACTCTAACATAACCTGTTCATTCTGCAGTCTACGGTATATTCAGCATTCTGTGCGAACACCATCCATTCTTTGTGGGTCTTCCTTCTTCCCTGCCCAGCTTTTACATGCTTTAAAAATGTTATGGCTTTGGTAAAGGATACCTTAGTTCCCAAGGTGACAAGGTTGCTAGGACCATTTTAAAGAGGTCCTTTGCTGCAGATTTACCCAATGCAGTATGCCATTTCATTCTTGACTGCTCTTTCCAAGGGTGCAAATGGTGTACCCAAGTAAATGAAATCCTCCAGAAAACATGTTCTCTGTTTATCATAATGTTGCTGATAAGTCCAGTTATAAGGATTTTGGTTTTCTTAATGGCGAGGTATTGTTAGGTAGCTAGCATAGGAACTGGGGCGTCCACTGTGAATGCTCAGAGGTTAGAGCTTCTGGCCAGGAAGAGGTGGTACACCTAGGTGGGTGTTACACCTGGATTGGCCAATCTAAGCCAGGTGAATTTGATTCAGCCAATGAGGTCGACCGGTATTGTCGACCACGCCTCCCAACAGGGCCCCTGAAAAGCCAGAGGTTTTGCTCGGGCACACTCTCTCTTTCCCAGCAGCTGCTACACAATGTCGCACAGCCAGGCTATAGTCAGTACAGGTCAGGCCGCAATTCCACAGCTGTGCTGCAGACTCTGTCTGGCTTGTGTTCCATTTACTGTA